AGTGCTCTTCATTTTCATCTGATACCATTTTTCTTCTGCTTGAAGGACTTCCTTAAAGATTTTTTGTTCTGTCGGTCTGCTGGTGACAAATTCTTTCAGTTTGTGAATAACATCTGAAGTCTTTATTTTGCCATAATATTTGAAAGACATTTTCATTGGGAGATGATTTCTATACTGACAGGTTGGTTTTTTTTTTCTTTTAGTTTTTAAAGATGTTCTTCCACTTTCTTCTCACTCTTATTGTTGCCAACAAGAAATCTGCTGTCAGTCTTATCTTTATTCCTCTTGTAAATAATAAATGTCTTCCTCTCTGTGTACTTATAAGGTTTTTCTCCTTATCACTAATTTCAAGCAGTTTTATTATGATTTTCTTTGGTTTCTTTTCTCCGTGTTTCTTGTGCTTAGAATTTGTTGAACTTCTTGGATGTGTGGGTTACAGTTTTCACAAAATTTGGAAATTTTTCAGACATCATTTCTTCCAATATTTTTCTGTTCTCTGCTTCTTCCCTTCAGAGACTCTAATTATTCAGAGATTAGGCCATATGAAGCTTTTCACATCGCACTGATGTTGTGTTCATTTTTTTTTTCAATATTTTATGTTTTCTTCTCTGGCTTTCAATTGTGAATAGTTTCTATTGCTATCTCTTCAAGTTCACTAATATTTTCTTCCACAATGTTTAATCTGCTATTAGTCACATTCAGTATATTTTTCATGTCATACATTGCAGTTTTCATACCTAGAAATTTGATTTGAGTCTTTTTCTATCTTCTATGTCTCTATTTAACATGTTCATTCTTTCCTCTAGCTTCTTGAATATATGGAATACAATGATAACAACTGTTTAATGATATGAGTATTAATTCTATAATCTGCATCATTTCTGGGTCAGTTACAATTGATAGATTTTTCTCTTTATTATAACTCTGGACTAAGTGAGTTGAAGCATCTCTGTCTCCATATCCCATGGTTTGCCCTTGTCATTATTGCAAGTTGACGCTTTGTGTGTTTCCAGTTTACAGCATTGACTCTGCCCCAGAAATCTTTCTTATAACCTACTCCAAATATAGCACCACATCAACTGGGACTTGCTTTGAGTTTGTTTGCCCCTTCTTGGGAACTGTGTGTTTAGGACTCTACTAGCACTGGCCAGCTTGTGAGATAGCAAGCTACTGTCTCCCTCATCCTTCTGCCTGGGTTTCTCAATTAATGTACCCTACTCATTCACTGAGGTATCTACTACCACACTTGGCACTCACTGGCAGTTATTTGACTGGATTTTGGCCTACAGACTGTGTAGTTTTGTGGCCAAGAGTGACTTATAGATTATGGTTACTTAATTTTTGCATTCCGCCCCAATTGCTTAGTAGCTATGACCTCGAGTAAGTGATTAACACCTCTATATTTCAATTTCCTCACCCATAATGATAGTAATGACACCTACCTTACCAGGTCATTGTTAAGAGTACATGTAACAATGCAGTATAGAGAAATTAAAATAGTGTCTGGCTCGGCATTTGCTGTTGTCACTGTTAGAGTAAGAATTCTATACTCTAGAGATCTGACTCTGTAGATCACATTCCCAGCCATTATAATGTCCTAATGCCTTTTGTACAGTCTGCTTTGCATGTTAGAGAAAATTTCCCTTCTGTATTTGTGGCTGAGCCAGTTTCTCTGGTGCCTAAATGCCCTTGTTCTGCTTTCAGCCCTAAGCACATCCTAAATGTCTATCCAGCCAGAAGTGGTTGGCTAATAGCTTTCTAAGTCTTGAAGTACAACAGGACTTGTTTTTGTCAACACTAGGTAAAATCAAAAGACAAATGAAAAAGAAAAAAGAACGCATTTAGGAAAAGTAAATCACCTTTCTTCCTTATTGCTAATTGTTTCTTCTAAATCTATTTTTAATTTTATCTTACCAAGTCAGAGAAAAACAAACAGGAATGGCACTTTTGGTACCTTACAAGCCAGCAATTTTTTGTCTCCTTGATTTTTGTTTCACTGTTCAATATTTCACATTCAGAAGATGGAGAAAAGGTTAGAAATACATACAGAATATTAAATTTTTAAATTAATAACCAAAATGGATATAAAGAAAGGAGTTTCAATAATTATAGAGTAAAGCAGCAGCTTGTCTAAAACACCGATACATACTGAACACCAACTTTTCACTTCTAAAAATATCTAAGAAACACTATCAAACTAAGTGGCATATATTTTCAAGCTTATTTTAGAAAAATATTGATATTTTGAAAACAAATTTAAAACCTAATGAAATTTCCATCTAAGCCAGGAAGCATCATGATCTGACTGCTCGGGAATCTTGAAATTAACATTTCTTGTTTTGAGGTAAATGGCTCATAAACATTACCTTTTCTGTAGGATTAATTTGTATCCGTCTAGTGATGTTCCCTCAGTGGCCTTGACTCTGACTGGATGACCAATAGCTAGGCAGCCCTGAGTTATCGCTCGGCTCAGGATCATTCCAGTCTTCCAATGAATAGAGAAGGGGGAGAAAGGTCTAAATAAGTTAAAAGAACCAGAAAATTCAACAATGTGTCACAAATAGTGAGGTCATTATGCCTGGATAAACCCAGATATTAACAGTTGCCAAAAGTGAAACACTACCCACAACTTAGCAGTCAGTGAGCCCTGCTCAGAATCAGTGATGTTCTGTCGGACAAGGGTGGCATTTTACAGTTCAGTGCAAAATAAAACAGACCTTGATATCTTCATTTGTCCTTTTTTTCTGTGCGTATTTCACAGTGCAGCAATTTGGGATCCATCACGTGTCACTTGTTATAACTACAGAGCTTACTTGAAATATGCATGCACAGAAAAAAAAAGAGTGCAGTGAACTGAAAAGATTGAAACAAATCGTTAACCTTTGTACCAATTTAAAGTTTTACTCTGGGTCTAAATGCCATGGGTTAAACATTTTAAGGTGGTTTATGAACTGCTTTTGTTTTAAATGTTAGGATTCTCAATAAGGAAATTGATTGAGAACATTGTTTGAACGGCCATTTAACAATTTTCTTACTTAGTGAATCAACACAGCATTTTAAATAAGTGACAACCACTTAGGAATTTATTTACACATATTGAGGATTTATGTCATGGAAACTTCTCTGTTAAGAACAGGTAAAATGATTTATTTTGAAAAAAAGGATAGAACTTTAAACCTTAAAAGATTTTCAAAATTGTTTTCTTTTAGCATGTGACTTTTATTTCTCACGTTTTTGTTGTGTGGAAAAGAACTACACAATGACTTAGGAAAAATATATTTTTCTAAATTTTTGTTCTAATAAGCCCTGAATGGAATCCTCTTTTGAACATGCCTGTCTATACAGAAAGGGAACTCCTTGGGGTAAGAAAAAAGAATCACCACTTATTAAGCACTTTCTGTATACCAGATTGTATGCTTGAACTTCACACGTATTTTCTCATTTAATCACCACAGCAACTGTGCAAGACAGGTGTGACTAACTTCATTTTATATATAAGAAAACTGTGGTTCAGTGCAGCTAAGTAACTTTCCCAAGGTCACACAAAGGATTCTAATTCTGATCTATCTAACTCCAAAACTCATACTCTTCGCATCAAGCATTTCAATTAGTTTAGATTTTTAGACAAGTACAGGTTTTCTGATATCATGAAATTCTATGAACAGATACCACAGAATTACAGAATATGAGATCTGGGAAAATAACCTTCCATATCAACTGGTCCAACTCTTTTACCAGAAGACTAAGGCCCAGATATGGTATGTGACTTACTTGAGGTCACATAAATGTTCAGTGGCAGTCCTAAAACTAAAACACTTCCATCAGTGCTCATAAATTGGTCAGATATAGAGCAGTGTTTTATATTACAGTGAAATGGCATAAGTTTTGAAGTCAGACAGACCAAGAATCTTTCCTCTACCAGCTACTAGCTTCAGTTTTTTCAGCTGTATAATGAAAACCTGCATAGTTTTTATAAGATTAAATGAGATAATAAATGTGTATAAGATGCTTAGCATATGTTTAACAAAATGGCAGATATTATTACTAAATCAGAAATAAAACACAGCTTAGGGCTAGTAGTTAATAGAGGCTCCAGGTTGGAAGCAGATTTAAGAAATATCTAATCTCATTCTGCCTTTGTCTATGAAGTGAATAATATTTCTTAGTACCTTTGTGTCTTAGTTACTCTATATTTTTGTTTTTAACTCCCAGAAAAGCAAAAATAAAAGTTAAGGGCAATCCGAAATTTCATATGAGAAAACAGTTTCTATCTCTCCTACCCCCTAAACTAAGTAGCAGCAAACTTGCCTGGGTGACTCTGCACCCATGGAAGTGCTAAAAAGAAGCAAAAATAGTCTCCAGGGAGGGGGCAAAGGGAGGCACAAGAAGGGTAGATATAAGCTGTACCATCTCTTTCCAGATGTAAATATTTGGTGGCAATTACAAAATGTATTTCAATAGCAAGAGGGAAGAGGAGAACAATTATATGTCCTCAGTTTAAATCTGATTCAATAGTATAAGAATAAAGTTAAAAAAAAATAGTGCCAATACATAGGAGTAAAATATGTTAGGCATTGTTCACATTTTATACTCAGGGATTTCTTTTAAAACTATCCTTACTAAGACCATATGCCATCACTATACGGTGCTAATCCACCAAGCTCTGTGAACCTCAACAATGAAGACTAAGGAGCAGAAGCAAATGAGATTCAGACAAATCTCATGAGAATGGTGAGTCTGTAGAGTATACCTAAGCTCTGCGCTATGTTTAAATACATTCTAGAGTATTAACTAATCAGCACATCTAAAACTGAGTTGAATGCTCACGTCGGGGTCCTCCGCACTAGACAAACCAAGAGCAGAGCACAGATTCATGACAGTCAACAACTGATATGCTTTCACTTGCACGCTTGTGTGCATGAGGGCATCAGGAACTGGAGCAGCACAGTGAGCCAGTGAGCCCAGGAAGTTACTTAGGGAGAGCAGACATTCTTGGATACCTTTGTGATCAGCCACACACTGGCTGCAGGCCACAGGGTCGATGGTGCTATCTGAGTCCCACTGCTCTCTTCACCACTTGAGAAATCCCGCCTTCTGATGGAAACAGAGGCATGAAGGACAATATTGGGGTTCACCTATACCATGAGAAGAAGCATGTGTTTAACTTACAGTCTGAAAGTTACCCTTCCTCAACATACTTAACCAAAATAATCTAGAACATTATGTTTCTGATTGAGAAGGTCTCTTTTGAAACAGTAGTGTTCAATCCTATTAAACTCAATTCAATTAACATTTGTTGAGCACCAGCTCTGATATGGTAGGCCCCGGACTGTGTGGTATGGGATATTATAAAACATTTTTCCTGCCCTAAATAAACTTACAACTGTAGAGGCGATAACACACACAATTTCATGTTAAGCTCCATATGTTTGATTAAATAGTGCTATAGTATGCAAAGAATGGTAGGCTCATTTCTGCAGGAGAAACAAAAAGTGAAGCATCTTGAAAGAGGTAACATCCAGACCAGGCCTTGAAGGATGAAAACAGTTTGACAGGAATAATGAAGAATAAAAAGATATTCCAAGCAAAGGAAAATAGTATAATCAATGCACCTTAGGATTTATTGGTAGTCTCAAAAGGTAAATTTGGCCAAACTTAGAAGGAGTCAAGTGTAAGGCTATGGAGTTAGGTGTCAGGAGGGCTTTCAAGCTTTCAAGCAGGAGGGACTGGATTACAGAAGATTTAGAAAGGTTGACCTGGCAAGTGTAAACATAATGGATTGCAGAATGGAGAGATCAAAGGCAGGGAGAACAGTTGAGAGTTTGTACAACCTCATAAGAATAAAGGGACAGGAGCTGAGACTTCAGTGACAGTTGTGGGAATGAATGGGAGGGGGCTGACTGGGGAGACACTGCATCTCTATCCCATGTGTTTAATCAGATGACAAACGCCAAACGTATTGTGCACCTTCTAGCGTTTCTCACTTAGACCTGATTGTCAAATTAACAGTCATTCATGTCATCTGTCAGAATTCTACTCCTTCATATTTAATAAACTTTATCTCCTAACTTATATGATCACTTTCCCTGAATAATCATGCTAACTTTTAAAGTGTTAATCCTTATTTGTATAGGATTATGGGAATATGCCAACTTATGCTTTAAACTTAGTAAATGATGTTGCTTCAATAACAGTTAAAATCATTTTCTAATATTGAAAAGTCTATTCTAAATCTTTGCTAATACTAGATATTTGTTGAGTAGCAAATGATTTTTTTAAAAAACAAAAGTTAAATAATAATTTAAAAGGTAATGTTTTACAAGTGTGAACAGGCAATAACAAAAGGGTATGACCAATATATTTGATAATTATTCTACAATTTATTATCTATAATTATTCTACAATGGAAGATAGTTACTTCTCTAGAGAAGAAAATGTTATATGACTCCTATATGTGAAGATAAAATTTTAAAAATACAGCAACCCCACCACATAAGCAGATTTGATTTACAGCTCTTTGATTGTGTATTCCCCAGTTAGCCAGTAGTGACTGATTCTGGAGGGGAATCCCCCGCAGTTTCTGAACAATGGTAAACTATATTCTACTAATCCATCCACCACAGGACACGGCATTTAAAGTAGCACTCTTAGTCAACCTCCTAACTCCAAGTTACCATCACACTCAAAACTCTCCTCTGAAACTGGGAAGAAGATTGTTTTGACTGGAATGTCAGACAGAAGAATCGTACTGCCAACTGCTTCTTTGTACAGCACCTGCTGCCAGTGCCTAAATTCTTGTTATCTCCACAACATGGTTTAATCTTTTAACAGTTGGCTTATTGGTGAAGAGCGAAGGGGTCCTTTGTGTCTGTCTTGGGTTGGCACCCAGTATTAACACCATGCTGTTCTCTGAGAGATATTTTGCTGGACGGTTCCCAAGTGATTCCACATAGACCAGACAGAGCCAGGCCCACTAACTCAGCTTCATTTCACGTTACTAAAAAAGAAAAATCCTGCCAAGTCTGGGGTTCTAATACACTTAAAACTGACAATGGCCATTAAATTCTCTTCATGATGTCACTTTCTTTTTTCTTTTTAAGTTAATCTGATAGCTTTGTTTTAGATCAAATGTTTAGGAAGGTGGGGGAGATAAAAATTGGAATTCAGAAAAGAAAAGTGCTTGGACAACCTGCAACATAATATGCCATGTGTGTCTCTCTGTGTGTGTGCACATGTGTGTGTACATGTGTGCATTCACAGGCATGTGTATAAAAGCATTTATGTTGAGACAGGTCTCCAAATATATACCATAATGTATGTCATTAGAAAACCTTTTTAAGTCCCGTTGAGAATCAAAACAAAAGCTTTCTTTTATTCTTTTGAATACCTATACACATAGCTTCCTTTAAATGACCACTATGATTTTGCTTGTCTGAATAAACTATGCTGATACAGATGATGCCAGTGATAAAAATGATGCATACATGTACTGGGCCACTTAAGGCTTCTTGTTTAATTTTCTTTCTCCAAATCACCAATGAAAGTGGAGTAGACTTCAATATTCCTGTGCAATTTCAAAGCAATAAGGTCTTTTCCTACAGATCTACTGAGGAGCAAAATACAAGACAATGAAATTTTTCTTGAAAGAAGGAGCTCATAGACCACAACCTTCATTCTAAACAGATTGTTTACTACACAGAAATTTTATAAGGTTTTTCCTTTTGACAGTAATTTTAGGACCAAGTTAAATAATTTACTATACAAATTAAAATCATACCTACAAGAAATGTTCTAAAATCTCTTTCCTCATATCCCTGATATTCACTCTTATTGTTTCCATTCTCTAAATCTATAGCTGATCAATCCACCCACCTTTAAGACCAAGAACTGGAAAAGTTGGGAAAGCAGAAAATATTAGCAAGAACCTAATTATGCAACCAAACAAGGGAAAATATCTAGGATCTAGGTGTTCAGTCCTCAAATAGATTCCAACTATTGGTCTAAAAATAAGGAAGGGACTTGCAGTTTTATTTAAAGTTCTGTGTCCTATTCTAATGGCAATCAGTTCAAAATTTAAATTAAAATTTTTTATTTTCTCCAGTACAAATTATCTGTAGGAAATATTATTTCTTGAGGACTTGCTCTCCAAAGAAATAGGACAGTAAAGAATTGTTTGCCTTTGCCTAGCCTCCTTTGTGACATACAGAATAATATATTCTGCTAGCATCCATGACTGCTTAATTTACAAGTAAACTTGTAACAAACATGCCATAATTCTAAAATCATAACTTGGTGTTTTTCTTACTGTTTCCATACTAAAAGTTGTCACTAATGTGCTGCTTATGTCTGATCATACTAAAAGGATAGGATAGAAATCAGTTTCCTTTCCATTTTGACAGAATATATGACCTGCCAGACACCGGAGTATATTTTTCTGCTATATTTTCCCATAACCAGGCATTCCTCAAGCTATTCTTCTCATGAATCTTTTTTCTTTTATATTAACTATCATGAAGTTTGTCTCTCATCCACTTCATGGAAACATATAATTTTATTTCCCGTAAACTAGAGCAATGTAAAAATGTTACCAATTTAAGTAACAATAGAACAAAAGATGTATTCACCAAAATTCTCCACTTGCAGTAGATTCCAAATCTTTTTTTAGAAATGGATAAAAGAGCAACAGGTTGTAATTGTCAGGGTTATATCTGTCTTCCACATTACTAATAAGGATTATATGTTCCAAATTTTTCTCTGTAGGAAAGGTTTTACTTGTCAATATGAGATTTAAAAGAACAGTCAGGGGTTGGGCACTGATATCTCTATGTCAAGCCAATTTTAAAATGCATCAAGAATATCAGCTTTTGCTCCCTCCTCTCTATCCCAGTTGTAATCCTCTTAGTGCCTTCTATACTACCATGAGCATCAAGATTCTACAAATAAAATGCCCTGTAGACATCCATCACCTCTGCCTGAATCTCTCTTTAAAAGTGCTCCTTTTCAGGTTATTAAATTGCTATTTGCAATGTACTGATCACCTCTCTGTATATAATCAGAGGCATTTTTCTGAAAGGATTTCAAAGGTTTTATAGCTAAGGGAGGGCCATTTTTCTTTGAAAGAGTCTCTTTACTATCCCGTTTATCAAATCTTTGCTTTCTTATACCACTATTCTGAGTAGACTGAAATTTTATTCAAAAAAGATTTCTTCTAAAAATACAATAGTGTATAAACTTTTAAGATGAGGTGTTTTCTCACTTTCACTGAATCATTAGAACGAATTAATAGTGATAAAATAACTGTGGATTGTTATTCTCTCATTTTTCAACATTAGAAAATATAGTTTTCTTTTAAAGTTCTACTTTGGCTTAAAATCAAAGAGAGAATCCTTTCTTGTTCTTTTCCTCTGACAACTCTCCACTATACATTTCCCCCACCCTCCAGGTTTGACCTGCTTTCTATTGAATGAGTTAATTAACTAGTGAATTCAATTCCATTTAGCTAACTCTGAGTATCTAGATACTGCAGAAGAGACAAGAATGATCAGAATCCCCTTTGCCCTCTAGGTATTTCTAATCTGCAGGGCAGGGGTGGGAGGATAAGATAAGGACCTCCTGAGAAATTTTCCTAGCACAGGATCAAATAAGATCTTGTCTCTGCTTGAATATTTCCAGTGGCTCCTTGTTTTCTACAGAACATCCAGTTGAATTAAGACCCTTTATGATATTGAGCTGCATGAGCTGCTTGTATATTTTGGAAATTAACCCTTTGTCCATTGATTTGTTTGCAAATATTTTCTCCCATTCTGAGGGTTATCTGTTTGTCTTATTTAAGGTTTCCTTTGCTGTGCAAAAGCTTTTAAGTTTCATTAGGCCCCATTTGTTTATTTTTGTTTTTATTTCCATTTATCTAGAAGGTGGGTCAAAAAGGAGCTTGCTGTGATTTATGTCAGAGTGTTCTTCCTATGTTTTCCTCTAAGAATTTTATAGTGTCTGGCCTTACATTTAGATCTTTAATCCATTTTGAGTTTATTTTTGTGTATGGTGTTAGGAAGTGTTCTAATTTCATTCTTTTACATGTAGCTGTCCAGCTTTCCCAGCACCACTTATGGAAGAGGCTGTCTTTTCTCCATTGTATATTCTTACCTCCTTTATAAAAGATAAGGTGACCATATGTGTGTGGTTTTATCTCTGGGCTTTCTATCCTGTTCCATTGATCTATATTTCTGTGTTTGTGCCACTACCATACTGTCTTGATTACTGTAGCTTTGTAGTACAGTCTGAACTCAGGGAGCCTGATTCCCCAGTTCCGTTTTTCTTTCTCAAAATTGCTTTGGCTATTCGGGGTCTTTTGTGTTTCCATACAAATTGTGAACATTCTTGTTCTAGTTCTGTGAAAAATGCCATTGGTAGTTTGATAGGGATTCCACTGAATCTGTAGATTGCTTTGGGTAGTATAATCATTTTCACAATGTTGATTCCTCCAGTCCAGGAACATGATATATCTCTCCATCTGTTTGTATCATCTTTAATTTCTTTCCTCAGTGCCTTATAGTTTTCTGCACACAGGTCTTTTGTCTCCTTAGATAGATTTATTCCTAAATATTTTATTCTTTTTGCTGCAATGGTAAATGGGAGTGCTTCCTTAATTTCTCTTTCAGATTTTTCATCATTAGTGTATAAGAATGCAAGAGATTTCTGTGCATTAATTTTGTACCCTGCTGCTTTACCAAATTCATTGATTAGCTCTAGTAGTTTTCTGATAGCATCTTTAAGATTCTCTATGTATAGTATTATGGCATCTGCAAACAGTGACGCTTTTACTTCTCCTTTTCCGATGTGGATTCCTTTTATTTCTTTCCCTTCTCTGATTGCTGTTACTAAAACTTCCAAAACTATGTTGAATAATAGTGGTGAGAGTGGGCAACCTTGTCTTGTTCCTGATCTTAGACGAAACGGTTTCAGTTTTTCACCATTGAGAACGATATTGGCTGTGGGTTTGTCATATATGGCCTTTACTATGTTGAGGTAAGTTCCCTCTATGCCTACTTTCTGGAGGGTTTTTAATCATAAATGGGTGTTGAATTTTGTCTAAAGCTTTTTCTGCATCTATTGAGATGATCATATGGTTTTTATCTTTCAGTTTGTTAATATGGTGTATCACATTGATTGATTTGGGTATATTGAAGAATTCTTGCATTCCTGGGATAAACCCCACTTCATCATGGTGTGTGATCATTTTAATGTGCTGTTGGATTCTGTTTGCTAGTATTTTGTTGAGAAGTTTTGCATTTATGTTCATCAGTGATATTGGCCTGTAGTTTTCTTAATATCAAAAAAAACAAACAACGCAATCCAAAAATGGGCAGAAGACCTAAATAGACATTTCTCCAGAGAAGATATACAGATTGCCAAAAAACACATGAAAGTATGTTCAGCATCACTAATCATTAGAGAAATGCAAAACAAAACTATAAGGAGGTATCACCTCACACCGGTCAGAATGGGCATCATCAAAAAATCTACAAACAATAAATGCTGGAGACGGTATGGAGAAAAGGGAACCCTCTTGCACTGCTGGGGGGAATGTAAATTGATAGAGCCCCTATGGAGAACAGTATGGGGGTTCCTTAAAAACTAAAAACAGAACTACCATACGACCCAGCAATCCCACTACTGGGCATATACCCTAAGAAAACCATAATTCAAAAAGAGTCATGTACCACAATGTTCACTGCAGTTCTATTTACAGTAGCCAGGACATGGAAGCAACCTAAGTGTCCATCAACAGATGAATGGATAACGAAGATGTGGCACATATATACAATGGAATATTATTCAGCCATAAGAAGAAATGAAATTGAGTTATTTGTAGTGAGGTGGATGGACCTAGAGTCTGTCATACAAAGTGAAGTAAGTCAGAAAGAGAAAAACAAATACCGTATGCTAACACATATATATGGAATCTAAAAAAAAAAAAAAAGAAGTTCTGAAGAACCTAGGGACAGGACAGGAATAAAGATGCAGGTGTAGAGAATGGACTTGAGGACATGGGGAGAAGGAAGGGTAAGCTGGGACATAGTGAGAGAGTGGCATTGACATATATACACTACCAAATGTAAAAGAGATAGCTAGTGGGAAGCAGCCACATAGCACAGGGAGATCAGCTCCGTGCTTTGTGACCTCCTAGAGGGGTGGGATAGAGAGTGTGGAAGGGAGATGCAAGAGGGAGGGGATATGGGGATATATGTATACGTATAGCTGATTCACTTTGTTATACAGCAGAAACTAACACAACATTGTAAAGCAATTATACTCCAATAAAGATGTTTAAAAAAAAGTACACACACACACACACACACACACACACACACACACACAAAAGACCCTTTATGATATGATACCAACATTCTCAGTGAAATCTACCTTTCTCTCCATGCTACTCTAATGTGACCTAAAATATGCCCAAACTTGGAACACTGTTTGACTTCAAATCATGCAAAAAATGTTGCAAGAGGAACAGCACCAAATTCAAAGTCATTATAAATGGTACCGAATGGATGCAATGGGGGTATCAAAGCCAGAAACATCATATCTGTTTTGGGCATGGTGTTGGGGTAAAGAAAGACTTCATGAAGCAGGCACAAATCAGGTAAGGCTAGAATGATGGGCAGGATTTCAATAAATATTTATTGAATGCCTACTATATGCCAGACACCATGCCAGGATATGGCACAAGGGTGACAGAGAAGGTGGGGGGTGGTGACAAAGAAAGAGAGGTTGAATTTCAGGCAGAGGGACCCACATGGGTATAATAACAGAAATCAGGAAGTGCTCAGAAAACAACAAATGAACAATCTAGCTTGGCTAACACCCAAAGAACATATTAGAGAATAGTGAGCCTTGAAAGAGATTACAGCTAACTTTTAAAAATCATTCATCAACATGTACTGTGCACTTGCCCTACATTCAAGACTTTGTTCCAGCAATCGTGAATACAAAGATGAGTAAGACATAAAATCTGTGTACAAAGAATTATTAATTTAGTGGAGGAGAAAGACACAAATGCAAATGCCGATACCAAAACACAAACTCTAAGAACAATTCTCAAAGGACAATAAGGAGTTCTGAGAACACAAAATAATTAGAGGCTAAATCTCTCTGGAGGATCTGAGAGGGCTTCGTGGAAGAAGAGGAAGTTGAAGAAAGCCTTTAAAAGCAAGGGATGGTAATGGTGGGGGTTGTATCCTAGCAAAGAACAACACATGCCATGGCACAAGTAAAGCAAAATGTAAAACATGTAGGGGACCCAATTTATTAGCTCTGACTGTAGCGCAGGCTACAACAAAGATCAAGAAGCAGAGAGGATTGCAAAGACAAGTTGAGAGTGGGGCAAGATTGGAGAAGAATCATGGAGATCAATGAAGGCCAGATGAGGATATGGAACTTTAATAGGCAACAGCCAGGCATACAAGTTTTTGAGCAGGAAGATAATGTTACAGCAAAAAACTAAAAAGGAATGCCAACAGGATTGGAACTATGGCAAATAAAACTTAATGTCAGATGAAAATAAAAGGCATTATTATTATTTATTTATTTATTTTTTTTTTTGCGGTACGCGGGCCTCTCACTGTTGTGGCCTCTCCCGTTGCGCAGCACAGGCTCCGGACCCGCAGGCTCAGCGGCCATGGCTCACGAGCCCAGCCGCTCCGCGGCATGTGGGATCTTCCCAGACCGGGGCACGAACCCGTGTCCCCTGCATCTGCAGACGGACTCTCAACCACTGCGCCACCAGGGAAGCCCAAAGGCATTATTCTTAGTGCACCATTCAACTTATATTTATTTTCTAAATTTGCTCAAAAACGGGATTAGAAATCATTGTTTGTTTTATTCTATTTTTATAATTATACTATTTAGATTCATATGCACCTTGAAGCAACTAATATTTTCAGTGTAAATTCTGACATAAAAGACTGAATGGGCAACATGGAGACATTTAAAAAGAGCAGGTTGGGACAATGAGTCTTTTGCATTGTCTCTTACAAAGAAAGGGCCCAGACTGGTTAACAGAAAGCCCTCCTTTCTTTGGCCATCTCTACCTCTGTGGGTGCCTTTTGGTTTTTGGTTTCATGAATTCAAAAACTAAAAGTTATGCAGCTGAAATGAACAACAACCCTACATAACTTACCAGCTGAGAAAAACAAAAGAATTATTCCTTTTTTTGGAGACAGGTTTAAAATGCTTTTCACAGCTCAGTGCAAGAAGAAAATTCCTTACTGGCAGGATAAGTTTCTAAATATAAATTAATAAAGAGACCTTCTAGATTGAGTTGTTATGAGTTGGGTTTTCTGAAGAACTCATGTTACTTAGAGACATTGACCCACAGAGCAAATAGGTCAGATCCTGAAGTATAAAGATATAACAGCCATCTTAAAGAAATTTTTAAACAAATGCAACTTATTAATATAGTTGATATAAAGAAAATATGCTAAACGATAGTACTTAAATGACGTGATTCAGGTAGAATTTTTTCAAGTAGAAATACTACATATTGGTTCAGGTTTTTTTTTTTCCCCCATTCTTTTTTAAATTCTTTTCCCATTTTGGTTATTACAGAATATTGAGCAGAGTTCCCTGTGCTATACAGTAGGTCCTTGTTGGTTACCTATTTTAAATATTGCAGTGTGTACATGTCAATCCCAAACTCCCAGTCTATCCCTCCCCCTAACCCTTCCGAATACTGGTCCAGTTTTAAAGTGCTTAATTAATTAACAGGAAGTAACGTATAATACTTGCCCCCAACATTTGTAAAATAATTTACAGTATTCAAAAACTTTCACAAATATCTACTCAGTCACCATGTATTGACTGAGTGTCCAGTACATAAAATACCCTTATTCAGAACAACAAATAATTCTGACTTTGTTCTGTAGGAAATGGTTCTCCAAGTCCACCTTTTCAAATTGATCAGGTATCTGTTGACTGGTGCCATTGAAATTAATTGGAAATCCCTCACAAACTTCCCAACTAAGAAGATAAAATATTTAATTGTTCTTGTTAGAATAAAATGAGTTTAATTTTAGTACTCTTTAGCATAATAATTTATGCATCTTATACTCTTCTAGTGAGAGAAAAACCAGTGTATAGTCCATAGTCTTTTTAAATGGAAATTTGTAAAGTATCTTTGTATTTATCATTGGGAAAGGGAAGGCTTTAAATTTTTTCCTTACAATTATTTTTAATACTGGGGGGGGGGGGATTCTATGCCTAATTGATTATTAATAGAACAAAGAGACAAAAAAATTTTTTTAATCTTACAGAATCACTCACGGTGGAGACCATCATCATTATTAAAATTATAGTCTAAATACACTGGTCTATAAATAATAAAGGATGCTTTTATAACAGATGTGTTAAGAACATTAGTTTGGTATTTTTAAGAGTCTTTTAAGAGGCAGCACATTCTAGAGGGTACATGGACAAACCACAAACTGGAAGGGTTGGTCTCATTCTTAGCTCAGCCAAATCACTTATTTTCAAAGTGAGCCAATTCTTATCCTAAAGAAAATCACCTAGATCAACACTGATATGTTAAGATATAGCATGCTATTCAACAGAAAACAGTTCTGGGAAGGTGATAGTATTTTTTTTTCAGTAGTCTGAGAGATATAAATAAGAGTATGATGACTAAGATTTCCAATGATCCGCTTGAGAGTATACGAAGAAAATTCAAATGGAATCCAAAAATTAAGTAAATTATCTTCAAATTAGTTTGTGCTCAATAAGGGAAGTTTCACATTGTTATACTTAGGGAATTAGATCTAATTTAAATCCATTCATTAAAGCAGTATTCATTGCAATTAAGGAAGTAAAATTAAGAAGCAGTACATAAATTAAAAATTAAACTCCTAACTAAAGACTGAAGCGAAAGGCAAGTCTAACAGCTTAGAGAAAGATTATTGCACGTGAAACAAATCTTCTCATAAGTGAAAATGCTTATAAAAAAGAGCGCTGAGTTATTTTCTGTCTATAAACAGAAAAAGACAAAACATTATAATCTTGTCTGGAAAGTGCAGGCAATCATTGTGGGATGGAGAAGACCAACGAGTCTGTCTTTCTAGACATATTTAGCAATAGGTTGACACTAGCTAGACTGAGTGACCTCGCCAGACTGCTTTTCATTCTCTGGATCTGCCCTCCATTTCAGCCTTTTTACCTGTATATTAAGGAAAGTTGTAATTTGTTAAATTACAAAATATCAAAGCTAGATGGGACCTTATAGATACCTCACCTAATCCAACATGGTATCAGTATCATGCTGCAATGTCCAATATGGTAGCCACGAGCCACATATTCCAACTTAAATTAATTTAATTAAACAAAATTTAAAATTCAATTCCTCAGTCACACTAGTCACATTTCAAGTGCCCAATGTCATAAAGTTTGTTTCCATCATCAGAGAAAGTTCTATTAGACAGTGCTGGAGAGGGGTTAAGCCCTTAGTTCTTAAGAAAGACAATCTGGGTTAGAATCCTAGCTCTATCATGTACAAGTTGTGTGACTGGGCAAATGACTTTGCCCTTCCATGGCAGAGTTTCTGTCTCCTTAAAATGGAGTAATAATAAGCTAATAAGCAATGATGGGATTAAAATAATTGCTTTGAGGATGAAACAGGTTCTTACCCAATTCATTTAGAGCTGTGCCTGGCCTATGGTCAACACTCAATAACTGCTGGGTTTTATTATTAACCCACAGGAAACTGACACCCATGTGCTCACAGACAATCATGAGCAGATATGGGGTTAGTGCCCAGATCTTCTTTTTTTAAAAAAATATTTATTTATTTATTTTGGCTGCACAGGGTCTTAGTTGCAGTATGAGGGATCTTTAGTTGCGGCACACGGGATCTAGCTCCCTGACCAGGGATCGAACCCGGCCCCCATGCATTGGGAGCACAGAGTCTTAACCACTGGACCACCAGGGAAGTCCCAGTGTCCAGATCTTCTAACTCCTGTACTTCTTCTTACTATGCCACCAAATCTCCAGCATACTGCTTTTGTTTTCAATTTATCATCATCAAATGAGATGCTTAAACATCAACACTCATATGAGAAAACATATTATTTAATATTTTAATTATTCCATTCAAAACTATTAATTTAGAAACATCCACTAAAAACAATTTTTACATTTCAAATAAAATCATTACCTTTGCAAAGCAGAAAGTATACTATGCTCATTGCCCCATATGTTTCTTAAAACTCAAGGAAAATTAATGATAAGTCTTTTAAGCACTAGCTCATTATATCATGAAATAAGTCAATAAACTAAATAATCGCTTATTTAAGATGATTTAAAGAACATCTTTTAGTGTTTAAATCTCACTCTGGGAAAACTGAATTAGGTGATTCAGATTGCTTTAACCGAACACTTGTTAATTTACCTGTCACATCCCAGTAGTAGAACAGCATTAGGATCCAAGAAGGTTTTATATGCAACTGTAATGCCACCTCTGGCAAATGCAGTCACCTGGTCAAAGGTCAAACCCAAAACAGGGTGTAGTGGAGATCTGAAAAATGGAAAAAACATCAAATCTATCTGCAAAATTATACAAACACTGAAATTTGAGTACATATAAACAGTAAAACATACCATATCCATGTCTAATAAAATCCAGAAATAAGTGAATTTCCTATTATACAGCACTATTGTTGGTATCCTATACTTATACCTGACATGCACAGTTTATTTGTTTGATTTATAATATGCGAAGGATAGTTGCAACACATGTAATTTTTAAAAATAATTTCAATAATAAAAGCGAAGTATTTAGTTGAGAAAAACAACCAACTGTCATTCCTATAATGTTCATTTTTCATGTATAACTACAATTCAATACACCCATGATGATCTTTGGAGCTTATAATCAAATTAATCCTTCATATGTGGCTACAAACAACTACTTTTTTGTGAGCTCACTAAATACTATGCTGATTTGATTTGTCATATTACATACTGTTAGGTACATTGTTTTAAGTTAATTTAATTATATGAGAATTGAAATCAAATGGAAAACAGATCTTAAATAAAAAGAATGGTCACTATGTCAATGATGAGCCATTTTGTTTCTGAAATTGGGGACAAACACTTGCTCTTCACCTTTAGAATCATAGGACTCAATCACATCACCTGTGTAGTATTGCCAAAAATATTTAAACTGAATCTAATCATGAGAAAACACTCACACAAGTCTAGAATGTGGGACATTCTACAAGAAAAGTGCCTGAACTCTTCAAAAAGAAAACCAATGTCATGAAGAATAAAACAAAAGATGGTGGAATAGTCTACATTACAGAGAACTAAAGAAAATAACTAAATGCAACAGATGAAGCTTATTTGGATACTGGATTACAAAAAAAGCTCTAAAGCAGATTTTGGGCAGTATGAACATAGATTACATATTAGACAATATTATATTATTGTTGATTGTGTTAGATATTATACTGTGGTGATAGAGAGAACATCCTGTTCTTCAGTTATGTGACCTGTAGCATTTAGGAGTAAAACTTTATGATTGTGTGGAATTAATTCCAAACAGTTCAAAAGAGAGAGAAAGGAGACATAAGAGAGGTAAAACAAATATGGCAAAATCCTTAAATTGCTGAGCCTAGGTGAAGGATATATAAATCTTCATTGTATCAAGTTTTCTGTAGATTGGATATTTTTCAAAATAAAAATTGGGAGAAAAACAATTAAAGGACTCAAAATAGAAGCAGATATTGGCAAAATCATCTTTTGCAAACGAGTAACCTTACCCCCCATATCAACATATATTAGACACGTTAGAATTACTCCCTGAAAATGAATATCACTTACTTAGTACATATTGCACATTTTCTCAATATATTTTAACTAGATGGAAATTACTTTTCTGACATTAATTTAGAAGTTTCAATAGTGGCAAAATGCTATAATGGTTCCCTAATGCCTCATATTGGATTCAAAACCAGAAAAAAATAATACATTATGCTATTAAAATAGCTATGATATACAAACAAATATACACACTTATAAATTCCGCCAACTACAATCCTCAGTTGATTTTAGAATATTCCAGATACTTAGTAATTTTTGTTACTTCACAAATATGATCCAATAAGAACAAGTGTTTGATCATATTAAAATACTGTATTATAGCAAACATCATTAAAAACATCATAATTAGTCATTGCTTTCACTTTAACAATGATATTTAAGAAGAAATTATTAGATACATTTTAGTAAAGACTTTCCTTGTAACTGGAAGAGCTTGCTAAATTATACAAGAATTCTTGCCGCTTTAAAATTCATTGCTATTTTTATCATTGTAAAAATAATTCTCACAATGTAATTAAATATCTTGAAATCTGCCTATATAAGAAGCACCATTCCTTACAGATTTTTTTTAGTTTTATAAATTACACAGCATAAGATACTAGTAAGCATTTTAATTTTACTCTAATGGGACAGATGAAAGATTTTGTAATATGCTATCCACAACAAATCCTACCAATGTCTCCCAAAACCTTCATGGATTTCTGAGTAGATTAGTTTTCTTTGAAATTTTGACTATTAGAATATACAGTAAATCTAATCAGCTCCTAGTTCTGTCTATGCTATTTTTGTTAAAATTAGTGTATGATCAATTATATTCTACAAGCAATATTTCCCCTATTCTGTTCTACAGATAAAGAGCTGAAAATGAAACAAAACAAAAAGCTTAAAAGTAGACAGAAAAGTGTGTTTAAGTTTCCTGACAAGCTGCTTCAGAGTTCATGTGGATGTGTCCTGTCAAAATATGCATAAATTTCCAAGATATTCCACACAACAGCCAGGCTCATCAGTGCCTGCAGACTGAAGCCTTTTTCTTTTCTTGGGAACACAGATAATTTTATGCAGGAATTTACCAATCTACAAAAATTTACACAATGCTCAGTAATAACCAGTAATTATTGTGGGATAATATAAGGTGCTTTTGAGGAATATAACTTTGATAGGATAGGGTTTACAAGCTTTACCGATTTATCTTTGGCTGTCCTGTCATTGGAGCTTAAAAGGTTAAGACTTTATTTGTGAAAACATAGAGAGATAGTGGGGAATCATGTTGTCTACAGCTTCATAAATCTTGCTTAAGATCCTTTTCAATTACCATCCATTTCTCCTTTAAAAAGGGACAAAAAAATAGAGGAGTGGAAGCAGGTCAGGGCAGTGTGCGACAATGACAGTGTGATGGGCTTGGGCCCCCGTGGCGTTTCCATCTGCTATCATTAAGGTGACTACTCAGACATGAACAAATCCCACTTGCTGTGCTGACAGGCAGACTTCAAGAACTATGACAAGGCATTAAGACAGAAAGTCAGGGGGGTGGGGGACAGAGAGAGAGAGATGTCATATCCCACAAACAATACTGCCTCACCAAAAAAAAAATGCCCCTGAAATTTTATTGGAATTCAAAATAATTTTTTTTTATAAAGGGTGCTACTTGGCTTCTCAACTCTCCTTTTAAATTAGCTTGTCCCAGAAAGATTGAGAATAAACACCTTGCTCCTACCTGTATGCTTTACCGTAAGAGACCCAAATTTTTTGCTCATTCTTCAGCGAAAGTGGATTCTTAATTTCTTGACCGTGCTCGTCGAAAAGCCGGATTGAAGAAAAATTGAGGCCTGGTGGGTTGATGGAAGAACCTTGAAGTCTTCGATGAATCTTGAAAAGTAACTGGTGGTGGGGCGGGGTGTGGAAATGAAGAAGAAAAAGAAATAACGTAAAATGTGAACACCTGTGATAAACTGTCTCTACTCTGTAACAGATGAAGTCCAAACAAACGATAATTAAATGCATACAGAATGTTAAAAGAAGTGTGAAATGATGGCGATGTTTAGCTCGGTGTAAAGTAACAAAATGAGCATGGGCTTTTAACCAGCAGGGGGTGCCACAGGCTCGTGATTGAGCTCTGACCCCTTGGCACGGGGACGGAAAGCAGATGTGACAGTCTTACAGAAAGAGCATTTAGCTTCTACACACGGTACCGGTCCTCTTTGATAAGGGTTATGCTTTTCTTGTCTGAGCTACACATTCTGTTGGGTCCTTCCAGAGTATGTTCAAGTTTTACAATCAGCAATCTCCCATCACCGAGACTAACCTCAGGTAACCAACGGTGGAACAATCCACCACTGACAGGACTGCAAAAATAAACATGACTTTCTGGCTTACGCCAGCCAATTCACTTAGAAGAACTCTTCCTGGATGTATTAATTAAGAGCTCTGCAGAAGCTTGCGAGCGGCTTCAATAGTGGATGTTTTCAAGTTTTAAATAAGATGTAATTGAAGTGTGAAGTATGAAATGCTATCATTTAATATGTTAAATAATAGCATTGTCTGTGTTTGCTTCTATCTTATACTTAGAATCTCTAAATTATCAAGATATTTCTAACTGAAGGCATATTTCAAATGAAAGTAAATCGGGCTGAACTGTGTTGCACATGGACTTTTAAAAGATATTTTTCATCATTATCTGTCACCTTTGTTTGAGTGTTTAGGCCTCTGCTCTTTCCTGCTCTGTGCCCCAACTATCCATCACTCTGTTTTCCCCCCAGCCTTCTGTCACAGGCTTCCTTTTCTTCTCTGCCTTGTCAGTTCTTGTGTCTCTCAATTTCTTGTTACTCTGTAATCTCGGCAGGGATGCGGATACAGTTGTAGCCTTTTCTTGCCTAGCTGCTGTTCAGGGTGCCTTTTTTGCTCCTTCCATTAATTCCCATTGAAGGTATATTGAGACGTGCTAAATGCCGAGACCCAGAGAAAAGGAAAGGCGCAAGCCTGTCATATATCTCCAGTTTCCTCACCTATTGGCTGTAAACTCTTTACCGAATAAAATATTTTCTATGACCAGCAACTATATCTATAGAAGGCCTAAGGCTTAGGCTTTGCCCTAATTAGGGATAAATAATCTTATCTCCAACTTCATCAGCTTTATGTTGTTTCTATCAGCTCTGCACTGACCAGATATTTTAGCCTTGAGCATCAGAAGGGCTGAAAATGATGATACATCTTTCCTTTCATTAAAGTTAATACTTTTCATCCAGCATAGCCAAGTCCTTTGAGTTAAAAATAATGATTACTATTCTCTTTAGGAATATAACAGGCAAAGTGTTAGAATAGTAAAACTCTGTGTTTTGTTTTTTCACTGGAACCACAAAAAGTTCTGAAATCCATGGACTGTATTTATAAAGCCCTACATTTATTTCTGTGTGGTCTCAGCCCTTGAGCTTATTTTTTGTGGCTTTGCTATTATTTCAGAAAACAAGTAATGTTGATCATTTTTTAAATCACAGTGATTTTGCTTTATAGGCATCTCCTTTTTTGTAAAGGGGGAAGATGTACAAAATTTAAGGCCTCATCCAGGAGAGAAATAAGCACACAAAGAACAGGAGTGTGTGGTAGAGAAGGGATGTGAACACCTGACCACTTAACCAAATTCACTTTCACAGGAGTTGCATTGCAATCTCTATTTTCTCAACTTGGCAACACACTGCATTTTAGGTGTTCAAAGATGAGCATTCGACAGCCTACAGGAGGTAAGGCCTCAATGTCTTTCATCTCTAGGTCATTGGTGAGGGCTGGGCTATAGTGACCAAAAATAGTGATAATCTTCACCGATTTATCTTTAAAGTTGTCATCACCAGGCCTTTATAGGATAAGAATTTATTCAGGGACCTGAGAAGAGTGTGAAACATCTTAGGCTAGTGATTGAGACAAGTGTGCACCAAGGAAACAGTCATCCTTGGGTGTCACAAGGGCTCTCCCAAAGAGCTTTATAATGCCCCTAGTTAAAGGTTTTCTCCCCAATTTTCCTGCATATAGATGCAAACCACAGATCAATTTCAGTGTGCCATTAGCCAACAAAAGCTTTCTACAGAATAGTATCTTCCTGTGTAATCTAACATAAATTCCATCTTCAATTTTTTATATGAACCAAAAAGGACAATATTCTAATGTGGAAAGGAGGAATTTACAGGTAGAGAATTCTAGGAAGCCTTTTGTATCATGGTGATTTGTATAGTCAGGGATATGATGGTAAAAGAAAGCCAGCCAAGGCTCTTTATCATTCTCTCTCTAATCAATCAAGGTAGCACTTCCCATCTCTTCTGAGCTCAGCTAATGATCGGATGATCAGCTTTTGTGACTGACTGTGAAGTCCAGGTAATGGATACCACCAGGGAGAGGTAAGTCTGAGGGTACTGAACTGAAGGGGGAAAAAATGGAGCAAGTTTCTGAACAAAGGTCAAGCAACAGAGCCCAAAACACTGGTGTGCACTCAGGCGAATAACCCCAATTTGTAAACAACAGGGTATTCAGTGTCCTTTCACGCAAGACAAAGACCCAAAATAAAGACCCTAAACATGTTGGTTCTGCTTGAGAAACATCCCAATTGTCTGGAAAATAGGAAAAGGTAAGAATGCCTAAGATAAACCATCTGGACTCGCTCACAACGAGCACAGGAGAAGACCAAGGCTGTGTGTTAGTTGCTCAGGGTCTAGGGCTTGGAAATACCCTAGACGCAGAACACACCCTCCACTGGATATCATGTCACTTCTTTTCAATGTGTCAACAAGAGGGCAATTCCAGAGTCCAGTGTAGACAGATTTTCAAATAAAAGCATAGTGAAGATTAAGATGCTATTAAGTAAGAGGTCAGGAGTTAATACTACACGAAAGCTGAGAACCTCCGGAACCCAGAAGTCAAGCTTGAAACCATAAATCTTTACAGATCAGCAGATGATTCATCTTTGCTAAACAACTTTAAAAATGTAATTGTCTAAATTAACTACAAGTAACTTGGAAGGTGCTCACAGTCATAAATGAATAGTCAGTAAACTTACTCTTTCCATCATATAGCCAGTTGGAATTGGGCTATTGGGCCCCAGATCTTTTTCGCTGATACAAACAGAGATCTCTCCAGTGTCTTTACCATTTTCAAATATCTGAAAAATAAGCACATTCAAAATTAAAAATAAATACACGCACATATATACATACATATAAATACATACATAAACACAAGCAGTCCTGATTTTGCACAGTACAGTGCCGACTGAAACTCATGCATATGGTTAACTGTGTAAAGCAAAGACGGCCGGTATGAGCACATGCAAGTAATTGGCAATGAAAAGCAACAGGACTAGAATAGTATAAAGGAAGTCCCTTGATCCTCCTTTTGGTTTCAGTGTCCTTAACCTGACTGTCATCCCCTACAATTTTAAAATAGAAGGAAACACAGACATTAAAGGAAGAATCACTGACTACACCGAATGCTTACATGGGGCAAGCGTCAGGGAAAGGTCAGCTGGCAACCAATTAACTAGCTCATTTCATTCTTTTTGAAGAACATAAAGCCACCAATTATGTAAGGAATGTTTAATTCATATTTAAAATATATCAGTGTTCAGCTCATCTTTTGACTCACTGAAAGGAAATTCAACCTGACAAATGTATTGCATAAAGGTACAATGAAAGCCATCCATTTTAAGTGCATATAAGAAACAAGTTGCTGAGAACAGAGATAAAAATCAGAACATTGCATTATGCAGTGCTCATCTGGAAAAAGAAAATGCTAGCTAACGTTCTGGTCAAAGGTATCCAAATAAACCAGTCCCAAAGGAAGCCTCCACTAGAGTGAACACCATCCTCTGACCATGCTCAGGGCCCACATGGGGTGTGTCATTCACCAGGCAAGAAAGAATGCAGGCCGATAGAGGCTTGATGAGTAATGTAAATCCTTGCTTTTTACTGTATTTTTTTGTCAAAAGTTTTTTTCTTCCCTGATAGACCTATCACATCAGAGTAGGCATTTTATTTATTTCTAGTGCTATCTCCAGAGAAGATAATTTGGGAGAATATTTTATTTAAATATAAGAAAGAAAATCATCCGTTTTACTTTTGAGACAGTTTGAGGATTATTTAATTAGTCCTAACCTGGTTTAGGAAATAATGTGCTTCAATAGCACTTCCTCAGGCTTTAGGCAAAAAAAAAAAAAAAAAAAAAAAGGCTTAAAAAAAGAGTAACAATGTTTAAGAATGGTGGGATTTTCTCCACTCTGTGCTTTTCATGGTACTGACAGCCTAGTGGAGATGGTACAGCTGTCAGCCTTGGAGCATTGATACTCCACACTCTACAGTAACTTTTGCTAAAGCGGATTTTTTAAACCTCTTTTCTGAGAAAAGATACAATTCTGAGCAAGAAATCTCTCTACTTTAGCCAGGAACTTTGTAAACCCAACTGTTGCCTACAAACCTATGGGAAATAATGTGAGAGGAAAAGCTTACTGTCCCAGCAATCTCTTCAGGGACCCTCTTAAACAACAGAGCCATTTAGCAATTGGGTTCACAATTCTAGGCGGATAGCATTCTGCAAGGTTAGTGTTGACAAAGGCTCAGTTTGGAGAACTTCATTGATGTTCCTTTGTCAAGACTTGCTAGATGTGGAACTGGAGTGCAGCAAATTATATTCTAGAAAATAGCTGTGTGAGTGCTGTCAAACTGAGAAAGCAAATAGGACCTGGACAACACCTAAGACCTTCATTAGCTTACTGCTTTCTTCACTACTGTTAATAAGCCTTCCCTTCTATGTCCAGAAAAGAGTGTTCTCAAGAAAAAACAAAAAAAGGCTCTGGCCTCTAAAAGCCCTATGAGGGCATAAGGAAAAAAGAGGTGCTTTATTGTTTAAGTAAAATTTAAGTGTTTAAGTGAAAGAAATCTGCCCTCCACTAGTCATTCATATAATGTTTTTCTTTTTCTGTATTTCTACAAAAGTAAAAATTCCCCAAGCTGAAATTCTATGACATTCTGCTTTTCTTAAGGCTCAGCCCCTATTTTTAAGGTCTGTATCACTATGACCATTTTTTTTTAATCTAAGTATTCTATTTTTTTCTTCCTTTGCATGAGAAATATTTTTATTTCTAGTGTCCAATGTCTAAACAAAGATAGCTCTCTAAACAGAGTTTATATAGGAAAATAAAAAGTAGTCTACCTTTATTTTCCTGCTCTCTAATCCTTGGCTTAAGAAAAACCAACTGCTTCCTAGTGGCTATCTGCATGCCGTCACCTCCTTATAGTTCTAAAACTAAATTCTCACCCTTGAGGTAGGATGATACAAAAAGCCAGCTAAAGGCTAGTCTTGAGTCCCTAGCTGAGGAGTAATGCAATAGAATCTTAAAAAAAAAAAGGGGGGGGGATCCAGATCCTTTCAAAAACATTGAAGCTAATGACTATTGAAAAAAATACCTATAAATAGGAATTTACTTCTATGCCCTTAGCTACACAAAGTACAGAGTTTCTAGGAGGAGTTTCCCATGAACTGCAGTCTTTTTACTTTCCTTCGTGTCAACAATGACTTTTCTTCAGCAGAATTAAATTAGGTTAACACCAATGTTTCACTGTAATGTTGTTAATCTTCATTCAACAAATATTTATTGAGTGCCTACTATGTGCCATCTACTGCTCAAGTGCTTAAGATACACCAGTGAACTAAGATTCCTGAAGAACAAGTAAGTAAATCATACAGCAAGGTCAGGATACATCCAGGTCTGTGAGGTTTGAAGTTTATACAACGTGGTGGGCCTTCTTTAACAAAAAAAAATGCAAAATTACAAATGGAAAACTAGATACAAGATATTTATTTAAAATGAGAAATTACAACAATTTACACATATTAAAAAGCTCACACATAGCAAAAAACATGACAAAATCCAGACAAAGTCACAAAATATTTTCATTAATTTACTATCCAATGCACATTTTTTGGCTCAATTGTCTTCAATCACCTCTTCATTTGGTAATCTTGTAACATTTTCTATAAGGAGAATAGGAATATAATTCCATCTTCCCTCTTGCATGGTTAATCAAAAAATTTCTATTATTGATTAGAAAAATTTCTCTCAACTACACAACTTGGTTGGTCATTTCATAAAAATTTTTAGGACTGATGTCAACTTTGGGAAAAGCTTGATAGTTTACTTTAAAACATGAGCTATAAAATGTGGAAGGATTTTTCTACAAGTTACTTGACTTTGTTCATTTCACACTATGTTTTTCCTCCACCACCTATATACTTTTGGTGACAGGCACTCTAGTCCACAGTCAAAAAGCAATACACTCTATGGCCAGCAGGTAGTAGCCATCTTCGTAGAAGCTCTTCCCATACCAGGGTGGCTTAGCCCTAACTGAACTACAATACAGGGAAATGACTGCAAACCAGTAATTACATCCCACTATGCTCAAACTAAATGTATCCTCAACTCAACTTCCCCTTAGCCAGACCTCAAAAATGCCTGCCACCACTTCAGCTCCAGCTGGTGCAAGGGAAAACTTGACAGAGAGGAAGTTGGAGTGGAAACAGACAATGGTCTCAGTCAATTGTAGTTAAAATATATTATATTTGCAAATTTTACAGAAACATGTGGCCATGTGAACACATTGCTAGGGCCTCTCCCAGGGTTTTGGAAGGGGCCTAAGCAGGAAAGGGGCCTTGAAACTTAGGTACATTGGTATCATGGTAAATGCACCTTGGAGGAAGTTAGAAGGTGGGAAGTGCCATGTAAAGAGGAAAAAATATAGCAGGGAAGGGATATAGGGCCTAGGATCAATGAGCGGGATGGGTGGTGGTTGCCATATGAAGCAGGTGATCAGAAAAGGCTTTCAAGAGAGGAAAGATTTGAGTAAAGACTTGGAGGTGAGAGAGTTAGCCAAGCAGATAGCTGGCAGAAGAGCACTGGAGGCAGAGGGAGAGGCTAGAGCAAAGAAACTAAGGCAAGAATGTACCCAGTATGTTCCAAGAACTACAAGCAGGCTGGTGTGATGGGAGCAGAGTGAGAGAGAAAAAGGGTAAGTAACGTGAAATCAGAGGGTTAAGGGGTGGGCAGCAAAATGGGGGATGCTTGGAGGGATTGGAACAGAGCAGTAACAGGATCTGACTTAAAAGGCGCATCGGGGCTGCTGGGTGGAGAGTAGACTCCAGGGAGCAAAAGTTATCCAAAGGGTGAATGACTGCGGCTCAGAACAGAGTATTAACAATGGACTTGGTTATAAATGGTCAATTTCTGTTGTTCATTCCAGAGTAATTTGTTCATTAGTGGGGTTGGGAAATAAAATTTGTAGTTGGCTAATATTTCTGGACCGTGATGTCTGCATCTATGGATGTAAATAAATCAACCTAAGTATAACTTCATATGTAGTTTTTGTGAAGGCACAAAAATGTTTACAAACTATCAAAAGAACTGTATTTACTGTGAAGATTTTATAGAGGCAGTGACCAAAATGTAAACCACGCGGGGGGAAGATGACTTGAATAGGATGTGGTTTTTTGACCAGTTTGCCTGGCATCATTTATGACACCCATTTAAGGACTTGTATAAGGCCTAGTTCACTGCCATTATTGGCCTTTAATGCTATAAGTCTGGTTAAGAGCTAGCTGTCGGGGACCAGCAGGTTCCCAAACTCTCCATAACGGCTGGACAGACCACCCAGGAAGCTCTTCTGTGCGTGAGTGGAAGGCCAAACACCTAAGCTTCAAAATGCCTCAGGAGGCAATGCTGTCAAGAGGCAATAATAGGAAAATGACACTGCAGTGTGTTGCCAAAAGTTGGGAGGCTGTACAGTAACGGGATTTACTACTAGAGGTCTGGTGAAGGAAAGGAATATAAAATAGCCCCACAAAACTATTTGGCATACTTCAGGTGAAATAACTAAATATGTTGGGAAAAGGTTAACTTACATGTTGTCTTGGATTAGGGTCCCCAGGAAACAGACTCTGAGACCAAAATTTACCTGCGGGAAGTTTCCTGCGGAGCGTTCTCAGGTACAACACAGGTGAGGGGAGTGAGGAAACAGGAGTAGGCAGAGGGAGAAGGTAAACTGTGATGTAGTTGCAACAGAGGCCTCTGGTGGGAGCTCTAGACCTGGGATGGCCCCTCAGAGTTGTCCAGAA